GCCTGGAGAAGGTTCAGGAGAATCTCATCAATATGCACAAGTTCCTAAAGGAAGGGTGCAAAGGGACCAGAGTCGGGCACTTTTCAGTAGTGCCCAGTGCCAAGACAAGAGTCAATGGGCACAAGCTGTCACACAGGAGGCTCCATACGAATATCAGGAAGCTGTTCTTCCTTGTGTGGGTGACCATGCACAGGCTACACAGAGAGGCTGTGCAAATCTTCAGAAGCTGCCTGAACGTGGACCCAGACACCCAGCTCTGGGTGCCCCTACTGAAACAAGGGTTGGGCCAGATGGACCCAGAGGTCCCTTCCCACTTCAGCCACCCTGCGATTCTGTGAACAATTCTAAAAGCAACATGTCACAACAGAAAGCAGAACGCACAGGGACAAATTTTGCCATTTTAGCTTAGAAGATGTTCTAGTCAAGAGCAGTGCTTATACATTTTACTTTGAAAGTCAAAAGCAAATGATATTACTTTGTAATATTGTCCTGTATAGGCTGCTCAATTGGTAAGAATTTCATTTAAAACTACTTTTTATTTCACTCTTTCAGATATGATTATTAAACATGACTAATTAAAAAAAAAAAAAAAAAAAGATATACGATAAAATATCAGTATCCATCTTACATTTCTAGTTTGAAAGCAAATACCCCTCAGTAACCACTAGGCTATGCTAACAGACAGCTCAACTGGCACGATACACTTTGAAAAGTAACACTTATTTTATATGCACACAGATATGCAAAGGTACTTTATAAGAAAATGGATTAGAAGAATGTATTTGCAGTAACACACATCTTGAGTGGGTTAACCTGTCTTCCCTGGGTTTTCAACCCTAATTATGAGTGAAGGAGAGCCAAGCGAGTCTTCCTGAAGCAAATGCTCCCTAGCACTTCTATTGCAGCTTAACAGGAATAAATGGGCTTTTAGCATTTTATATAGCAAAGTTTCAGACCACATCTTTTATTTCCTTTGATGATTTGTTTTAGATTTCAGACTGCAGTGGAACACATGGATAGAAATGTTTCTATTGTTGTATAATGAGAAGATTAAAAAAATGTCTCTTGAATATAGTCTGCATTTTGAACCTGAGAAAGGTTACTGTATTCCATGAGAATATGTTATGAATGATGAGAAAGGAATCTGAATTATCACGAATTGCCCATACTCAAACCTGTTCTGCAATTTCTAATTAATGAGCAACATTTACCTTGTCATTATCCAGAATATTCTAGCTGTGCATGCTACCTTCTCTATTCTCAGGGTTTAAATAGAAAAGGATTGTTATGGTTCACTTTTTTTTCCACACTATTTGAGCCCTGCATGCAAAAATTTGAAAGAAAAAATCAGAAATAAATAGTAATACTGTGCAGTAAGATGCATACAAGTAGCCTTTATTTCTTGCTCTTAAGAAGGTTTTGGCTTGTACTGAAAAATCCCAAGTCTATAATTTTATTTGAAATATAATCAGTTTTTATGAATTTAGATATTTAGAGAGGGAACATGTTTGTAAGGCACTGCAGCCACAGAATATAATCTGTGAATTTAAAAATCTCAATTTAACTACAAGACAGCATAATTTGTGAAAATAAATATTCTTGAAGAATAGAAACAAGATAGGTTTTGAGGACTTTCAGCATGTCTCCCCTGTCAATAACTAAATTCAGTTTAAATAGGAGAAACATTTCCCAAGGAAATAAAACCATAAACCCATAATTAGCATGGGTTTGTGGACTTAACTGACATTGAGGAATCTGAAATATTTGAGCATAGCTATTGTATCTGACAAAGAGGGCTCATTACCATTTTTTTAATCCTTTGTTTAATAAAATTAGTTTAACAAAATCCCTCTTTCTGCAACTGGCTGTGTGGTAAGATTTTAATTCAATTTTGAATAAATTTTGAGGTTCCCAGCTGAAACACTGTTGTTTAACAGCAACAGATTAGACAGTGATGAACCTTCTTTGTTTGCTTGTAAACTCAGCTCTACATGGGTAATAAAAGTTACCTGGTTCAAAGACTGTGCAAAGATAAAGCATGAGACGGCTCTGACAAAACTGGAACTCATGGAGGATAACCATACTAATGGCATTAAAAGCCTGTTATTATGGCTGTAAAATAGAACTCTGACGCAACGAAACTGCAAAAGTACTGCAAAAGCACATCCTTTTGCTTTCCCCTTTTTAGTACGCTATGAATCCATGCATAAATATGTGACTACATACCAATGCGAAATGAAACAAAACGAACTCCCAGCCTTTTCACTATTCAGGGTTATAGCAGGCTTGCAATCCAGCGCTTCAAGAATTTATTTTCTCCCATGGCCTGTTTCCCTGCCTGTTATGCACATGCTGATTGAGAGAGAAAATGGAGCCATTTACTTTTCTGCCTCATGCAGGTTCAGCAGGGGGCTGCAGAGCAATAACACCCCTGGCAGAGCGCAAGTTCTGCTCCTGGGTGAGCACAGTGGCTGCCATCCTGCTTCTCCCCTGAGCATGAGCTGGCAAGCAGTGTGCATGAACCCTCCCTAGCCATTCCTTCCCTAGTCTTCTCTCAAGTAAGCACTATTATTCTCACTTCAATCAAAATACATCACCAAAAATTTTATCTGTATGTATATTTACAGCCTTATTTCTACTGATTTCAGCTATTCTGTATATGTTACACACCTCTGTGAAGTGAGATTCCAGCTTACCAAACTGAGCACAGGAAATTAGGTGCATACCACCAGCTACTACAGGTGGGAAAGGAGGCAGGCTCTTCCCGGCATCCCTCAGCTACCTTCAGCATAACACATTTCTTGTACACATTCTTGTGTCCTGTAATGCTGTCCTTCATTCATTGCACGTTTTCCAGCTTCTGCATAAATGAGTGTTTCTCATATAATGCTGCATCAGTTCTGAACTGAACAGATTTAATTTGTGTGATAATCTGACAGTAATCCCTTTCAAAAATACAGCAAACATACTTTTATTCACACAGGAAGTCAAGCAAAGGCTGTGAGAGTGCCTGAGTGTCTGCTTTTCCTAATGTTGAGGGTTTCTGACTTCTGTTCCCTCCACTCTCACTGAAACTCCAATGCTTTCATCAGTATTTCAGCGCTATCAGTATTTCATTAACTCTTTCCATGGCCAATAGAGGCATCATCAACATTTTATTTCATTTCATGGATGCTTACAGTGGAGCAGTCCATACAGGCCTCCCTTGGTGCTCTGACTTTGCTAGATGAAAAAGTAAAAAATCAATTTTTTGTCTGGAGAATAATGAAAACAGTGACACTATAGTAAAAAGAAGAGGTAAGAAACTGTGCCAGAGACTAGCGTTCATAGACAACATAAGGCAGTAACTAGAAATAGCAGATGAAAAGGATGATGATTGAGTTAAATCCTTAAAAATAATATTTGACTGGGGAACCCTTGTAATTCTCAGACAAGAAGACTAGAGATATAAACTAGTATGGAAAAGCAAACTGGGTGGTGAGGAAAACCCTCTGGAGAACAGAACAGCCCCCCAGCTGGGTCACAATCTCTGTGGAATTGGGTCTCCAAATTTCTGTGGAGAAACCTGGAGCACAACCAGAAGCAGCACTGGAGCTCTGCCCTTGTTGCTAGGCCCAAGTCCAAAAAACTGCGTGTTATGCCCTAATTTGGTCTGTGGGCAGCATGACTCCAGCATTATCAGTGGCCTGATCAAATGCAGGAACTCCCCACAGTCACCTGTGGGAGAAGTGCATGGCAGCATAACCTCTCTGAAGTAGCTGTAGAGTGGAGCACACCACCATGCCAGGTTATGTGCAGGTTAAATGCATCTGATTTGTATTATTTGTGATTTGTGTATTATTTGTTACTCATACTGTCGAAGCAGTGCTTTGTTTGATGTTACTGCTTTACTAATTTTAGTTACTGTTCCTCTATTAATTTCAGTCGAATATGTAAGCTTTTAAATTAAACAAGGGTTAATCAATTTCCTTGGCGAACCAATCTCAAATTATCCACTTGCCTGTTAAAACACTCTGTGAAGATATCTGATACGTTGCAGATGGGTAGAAGGATATAAAGGCATTAGAGCCTGGAATCAATCCCCGTATCCAAGCACTGTGTATGCTGTTTGACAGGCTGCTGATGAACACAGCAACACTACGTCACTTCAGCAGCACTCATTGCTTCAGCCGGTTGCTCAGAGAAGCTGTGGATGCCCCATCCCTGCAGACATTCAAGGCCAGGATGGATGAGTCCTGGGCAGCCTGAGCTGCTGTGTGACAACCTGCCTGTGGCAGGGTGGTTGAACTAGGTGAACTTTAGGGCCCCTTCCAGCACAAGACATTCTGTGATTCTGTAATCCCCTCTGGCTCCATACTGACATCTACTTAAATTATAATTTAGAAGAACAGAAAGCAACAGTGATTACTTTATGGCACGAGACACAGCCTTGCTTACTGCAGGCAACTTCACCTGCCTTTGCAGCCAGGATGAGGAATGGTGGTAGCAATTTCCTCTAGAGATGTTTTTACAAATAATCTATTGCATTTAGTTTTGGAGCTAGGCAGGAAAACATCCTTAAACTGGTACATTCACATCAATTCAAGAGAAAGACAGGAGAGCAGACATAAGAAGAAAATGGGAGATGATAGCATTGCAAATACCCCTACATGGAATATATGATTAATCTTATTTTAATGGAAAAATTTTGATTTCTTAAATAACAACTTTGGCTTTTCTGAAGTGTTATAAACTGTGATATTTAAAATCAGTTTGTAATTGACAGTGTTTTTAGCTCTGTGTGTCAGTCAGCTCAATCACTCTCCTTACATCTCACTGAACTGGATGCTATTCCTGACTATTATAAACTTTACACATAAAACAACACAATGTCACACTAACAGCTGTTGTACACACTTACATTGTTTTTACACACTTTATGTTGTTGCTACATATGGTTAAGCATAGGCACAATGAGGCAAAAAAAATACAATGTAACCTGGCAGAAAACAGCCACTTACCCACAGTGCTTCATGTGAGGTGGTTTATCCATTCTCACTGCCAATTTGATTTTCAAGTCACTGTCCTGGCTGTTTTTGGGGACGATCATTTTGTGCAAATCAGGGGACTTGGAGCTGTTGGATGTCGGATACAGCACTACCTGCAAGTAATAAAATAAATGCTGAGCTGATTAAGAAGTCTGCTTATCTTTAATGGAAACTTCCAAGCAGTTCAGATTCCTGTTAGATCTCCTCCACTCTGAAAGGCAACTTAAAAAAAAGTTTCATAATTTAAATAAAATATTTGACACATTCCTATCATGATGAATGATTATTAAATGAATTAGATGAATGATTATTACAATTGGAAATTTTTATATTATGAATTGAAAGAAATTTGCTCTATAAGATCATTCTGAATTAACAGTTTTAAACAAAGAACAACAGGTTCTGGTACTCAATCAGGCCATCCAGGGCCCCATCCAACTTGGTCTTGAACAGCTCAAGGAATTGAGCATCCACAGCCAATCTGGGCAGCCTCTCACCACTCTGTACAGTTAAACAAGAGCCCAATCTTCCACATTACTCAGTACCCTCATGGAAGCATGCCTCTGAAACAACATGCTATATAACTCTATGCAACAGCAGTGACAGACACTGCTGGAGTGAATGTAACCACAACATGCTGCTTCTTACTAACTTCAGTTAAGATCAGTAGCATTAACAAAAGCCAGCTGTAGTAAAAAACACAGAAATCAGAAATTAATTCCAAAGCTCTGTTGCAAACGGAGTGTAATACATACAAGATACTGTGTTCAGTTCACATCAATATGCAACACAAACATTTTGTTAAATTGATACAGATGGACATTAAAAAAAGCAACACCATAAACATGAATTTTAAATACTTAACTAAAATGTTTAAATGACTTAATTGATAATTTTAGTAATTAAACATTATTTTTAGACCACTATCAGTCACAAACAGTCAAATATTTATCTGCCATCCAGAACTTTCAGCTTCTGATATCTAGCACAATTAAATATTACCACTTAATTAAGTTCATAACCACAGTCACACAGTGAAATGCTGCTGAAATAAGGATGAAGGGAAATTTTATTATTAACATTACTTTTTAATCAATTTAGACTCTAAAACCATCCAAACATGCTCCTTGAGAGAGTTTTGCAATAGTCAGTGAATTCTGAACTATCGTTACTCTTACAAGCAGTATCTTCCCATCTTTTATTTCTTGGTAACTAAAACTAATCATAAAGTTAATCACCAAATTAATTTCTTATAAACGGTAGTTGCATATTGTGTCACATGTATAAAACACAATATATTCCCCTCTCTGTTTCAGGGAAAGCTAAATCAAAGACTTGGGTAAGAATCCTCAAGCAAACATAAATCCAGTGGATATTATTAAGCCAAAAATTTTACAACAGATTTATTCACATGCAGGATAATGTAAACTGAAGGACTTCAGCTCCCCACGTCAGTATTTTGCAGAAGCACGTTCCTGTGTCCCATTAGTATGAGGAGTGCTAGCAAAGCAGAGAAGCGCAATGCATCAGCCCTAATGACGTGTGCAACCTCCGTAACATCAGCAGGAAAAGTAACCTCTCAGAATGATCGAGTTCTGTGCCTGTTAAAGAGATAGCAGAAAAAGCAGCATATTCCAGTTGTCACAAATCAGAAGGGTAATTTGTTTTGCCTCTTCACAATTGCATAGCAAGCACTATTTATAACAGTGCTTACTCCCTCTTTTCCAAGAAGTATGTTCATTTTCCTCCTGAGCAAAAGCTTTCCCTTGAAAAGCATTGAAGTATAGCAACTCTGGAGTTCTGAAATCTCAAATAGAAACAACTTCTAGTTTGTCTATCTCTTTAAATGCAATACTATATAAACAGAATTATTCCTCATTCCTTGCATTTAATCTCTTGGCATTCATAGAGGTCCATAGGTGATGTTATGATTTTCTTTTCTTCTCTACAGATTGCAGTCACTGTCCTCTAACAGCTTATTACCACTCATGCATCTCAAACCACATCTTTCCCCTGTCAATTTCTTGATTTTTGACAATGCTGAAGAAAATATAAGCTGACAAGTGTATAATTAATTCATAACTTCAGGACTGACAATTTCTTTTCTGATTTTTTTTTTTAAATAAGTATTTTTGAGCTTTGTTTTCAAACCTCTTGCAATGAATAAGTATCTGGCAGAGTACTTGGACATGTGCTGTGTCGTGTCTGTCTCATTATTTAAAAGAAAGAACGGCAAAGCACAAGAACTAAAAAGACTGGAATATACAAACTGTATTTCAAGAACTTCAAACACTTTTGTCATTATGCACAAGTGCACATATACACACACGCAGCATTCTGCAAGCATTAATTATCTTCAAAATAACCTTAAGCCTGCAAGGGCACACCTAACCAATGTGCGTTGGATCATCAGGTGACACAAGCTGAAACCAAAGCACTGAGCAGATTTTTCTTGATGGAAAAAAAACGCTGAAATTTGGATCTAAAGCATTTCCCCACGATGACACACTGCGATGCAGTATCATCTCCACAGCCCAGAAGCTTCCTAGGTTACTTGTCTCAGATTTCTTTTTCAACACTGTTTAACAGATTACAAATTTACAGGTGCAGTTGTAGGTACATACTTAAATAAAATAGTGCCGACTCTTTATTATCTGGAAAATATACATACTCACCTACAGAATATTTTTTCACCACACCTGGTACTTCTAAAATGTTTGTAGAATTATTTCTACATCATATATTTTCAAATCATTTTTTTATTTTATGCTTTGTTACCTTAATGTTCCTATATCTGTGAAAATCATCACAGTAGATTACTCAGCAGCAACACAGCAAACTATGAATTGTATATATCATAAACATACTATATATATGTGTATAATAGCACTTGTTTACAATAAGTAACCTAATGAATAATCTGCATTAGGTAATGAATGGCACATTATATGTGAGTACTACATACCAAGCACAGCTGCTGTACATTGCATTATTTCAGCTGATTGAAATCAAATTAACACAGGTTGAGGTAAATCAGTAAATTCAATCTTCTCATGATCATTAAGGGTACTCAGCTACAGTTTGGTACTGAAAAAGCAGCAAGTCCATATCCTCTTTATGTGTCTCCTCATTCAAATGAAAAATAAATACATAAATCTTCAATATTATAGAGCAGCACACCTGCATATTTGTGCAAGGTGAAGTTCTCAAAACATTGCTTCTGGATTGTAAATGATTGACACAGCACTTCTCAGCTGCACCTGGAGGATATTGAGCTAATATCACTTCTTGACTTCACTGATCAACATTTATTGTGATTCAGCTGTGTAAGTCCCAGCTGGATGACAATAAAAGGAGCCATTTGATGTTCACCTAAGCCAACAGTCAATCCAGCTGAGGAACTCCTAACTCTTCTCTATCTTTAGCAAATTGATCATCTTCTCCTTTAAAAAAAAGATTTCAGGGAACAGGCTAGTTGTTCAAAATGCCCTGGAAGATGGAACAGACTGAACTTGTGGTGGTCTTGCTTTCTCAGAGCAGACAAACTTGCAGAAGATTCACAGTCAGAAGCGCTACACAGAAACATCAGTATTTCCATGGTTAGGATAAAGCTCTCAAGGTAACCATCCCTGGCCGCAGCTGTTATACTGCCAGAACATAATGCAGCCTCTAGAGGGGACCCAAGCTCAGAGACAAGCCGAGCAGCAGGCTGGAAGCACACTTGAAAGAAATCAAGAGAGTCAAAATAATTTCTCTATTCTCTCCATCCCACGCTCACAACTGAATTCTCACTCAGTCAATTTGTCTTCTGGCTTTCTGGCTTCTCCAACCCACTCTTGCTCTCTGGTACTCAGAAGCTGCACACAAGTGCTGCAGTTACCTGCTGTTCTGACCAAGCACTGAAAAATCTGAGAAAGATTTTACAAGTCTGGGTGGTCTAGAGCACAAACAGAAACATGCTTGGGCATAAGGCCTTGTGAACTGCAGCAAGTCTGAGCAGACTATGCTGAGCTTTGGCTCCCCATCACAGGCAAAAAAAGATGCAAGTGAAGAGTTGCAGCTGCTCCTTAATGCCCTGGCTGACAGGTAGGTGACAGTTGACATGCTATTACAAGAACCAAGAAAATACTACTCTCCCCTTCAATGCAGTTCAAACTACACAGCATTAAAGAAAATAAAGGTGCAGTCCAGGAAAAGCCTTTTCAAAACAAGCCAGACTTTTCTTCTACATCAATTCAAGCTTATTTAAAACAATGTAAAAAAATAAATACTCATAATGCCATGATCTTCTCCCCCAGTTTTATTTGTTGAAGCTCCTTCCATCATGCAATAGGACTGATAATGGATTCTATGCAAGGCTTTTTCTTTTGTGATTTAAAACGTGGTGATTTGAAAAGATAACTGATGGCAGTGGGAGCAGGGAGGACAGGCAAATTTTATGTTATGAAATAATCAATATTATTCGGCGCTGCCAGTCACTGTCTGAGCAAAGCTAACAGGAAAGTTTCTTTGTTAAACACACTCTGATTTTTGCCAATTTGAAAGTGGTACTGCAGGCCAAAAATTAACAAAGCTGGTTTGGGGCAGGGAATAGATCACTAATAGCCATTTAGACACCATACAGAGTGCAGCTCTGACCCTACCCTTGCATAGGGGACACCTCTCTGCTTTTGACAGTCTGCTGACTCTCCTCAAGTCCCCTTCCTTCACGACTTAAAGTCTGGAGCTGTTCTGAGCTACATCAGATACTTGCCCACATACAGGTTGATGTCAGCAAAGAAGATGCTGTCTGTGTGGAAAGAAGTGAAGCTTCTCAGAGCATCCCAGCAGCAGGGTATCAAACACAGCATTCTGTTCAGGTTCTTTATGCTTCTGAGTGTTAAGCTCTCACTGCCACAACAAGCAAATATAATCCAGGAAAGGCCCAACACAGAGATGGAAAAAGGAGTTGGCTCTCTTAAAAGTGACTCTCCTTGAAAATTAAAGGTTAATGACAGCTCAATCACCAAGGGTACGTGATGTATGCAGGGATCTTATGCCACCACCAGGATCTCATCTACTGAGTGACCTCTTGCTTTTCAGCTACAATTGTATTACAGCAGAAGTGCTCAGA